CCTCTCTGAGCTGAAGTGGCTGCTTTTCCAGTTAGGTGGAGGACAAGCAGCTTTGTGGGCATTACAGAAGACCAAATCCCCAGCTGGTGCAGCCCAGGAAAGAGGAGCAATGAGGCTGCCCAGCTGAAGATGCAGATCCAGATAGCTGCCTGTTCCCTTCAACAAGGACCTCACTGAGCCAGCACCTGGACATGAAAAAAGGAGGCAAGACATGGTCGGAGAACACGCTTGTCCACAGTCCCTTACTGAACAGTAAGCAGAGATCTGTAAACACTGTCCCAATACCTGAGCCTCCCAACCTTAGCTCTCCTGGCTGCTGAATAGAGGTTTAGCGGTTTTTTTTTTTGGGGAGGGGGGCAATATCACAAAATCTCTTTACATGTGGAGCTGTCTGAAAGTACCCTCTCAGGGACTTTGTTTTCTCTTTCACCCCACTGCACCTAAATCAGAGGAGTAAGAACTTTGAAACGGAAATAAACTGAAAAATGAAGCCTTTAAATGTCAGGCAAATGACTTGCAGAGACCAGTCTCTTGGAAGACTGTAGGGTGCTCACCATTCACGTAAGATATTCACTGTTTTAAGGGGCATTGTTCAGGCTACCAGCACTTAAAAGACACCACTCCTCAAAAGCTTTGGCTCTGTTTTACTGTATTTGTTTCACCCAGATTCCTTCAACTCTTGTAGCATCCACTGCTACTTCCCAGTAAAAAGAGCAACACCCTATCAGAGCCATGTGTTTGCCAGCCTGTGCTGCTAGGCGCATTCAGTCCTTTAAACATCCTCCCCATTCTCACTGAGGGAGATGGTGTGTATTTTAATAGTTGGCACTTTACAGTTTTCACGGACAAGGTTCCCTGAAGTGCCCGCACAGCAGCATTCCTGGAGGAAGCCTTTGCTTTTTGCTTTGGCTGCAATACAGTCTTTAGAAACTGCATTTTTTGCAGGCATGCTTTGCACAGCAGAGAATATCTTCCATTCACATACCCCATCTGACTGGGAAATCTTATAGAAGGTTTCTTGAGAGCCTACAGGGATCCGGACCACGCCTTTGCTGCTCTCCATGCTTTGACTGCTTGGATGGTTGAGGTTGAAACTTGGGGATTGCTTCTTTGCTGCTTGCTTCTTTTGGAGGCATTGTGCTCTTAGGACATTTTGGAACGCTTTCTTAAACTCTTGACTTGAGCATGGATAGATTATGGGGTTGATGCAGCTGTTTAAATATCCAAGCCAAAATGTTATTTTAAAAAGTGTGTCCGGGGGTTTGATTGCAGGAAAGAAAGAACCTAAAATGGAAAATACACAGTGTTAAGGCAGAGGCAGTGAGAAATTGCAGGTAACCAAAGAAACACTGGAAAAAATAAATAAGATTCTGTTCTCTCTTGGAAAACTTACTACTCAAAGCTGAAATCCTGCAGGAACAAAGTATTTCAGAATGTATGATGTCATACAATTACATGGATGTTCTATCAGAAATCAATTCAAGACACCTACTTTATTACACAGGCATTGTTTTCCCAGTTAGAGCCAGAGGTGAGCAAGAGGACTGGTATCAAGTGACAGAGGAAAATTTCTTCCTCCAACATTTCTAATTCAAGATTAGTTAGCCAAATACCAGTCATATCTAGGATGTCATTAAAAGGAGTTTGAAATGGCAAGAAAATCACACCATTTCCAAAGTCAGAGTAATCGAGAAGTAAGATTACTGAGTTGCCTGTGTTCCAGCTAGAAGTCTTAAAAAAATTCAGTATTAGGTACTCATTTTCCCTTTAAACCTTTAGAAAATCTAACTTTTCACTTTTTTCAGTCTCACAGAATACATCTAAAATTCAGAGACGTAAATGAAAGGTTCCTTCTTATATACACTAGCACTGTCTAGAGAGGGTCTCATGCACAGTCATGGTACATGTATTGATACATGCTCGCAAGGTCACCTCTTTTAATACGGATGATTAAAAAAACAAGAACTTAGTTGGCTCCTTATTAAGGAAAGTACTTTGTGACTTTTTATTCTGTAGAAGGCAGGGTAACATTCAAAAAACTTGAAATTTTTTTATGAAGCGTATTCAGAGAGCCATAAATTGTACGTTCTTGGCACATACAGCTGACCATGCAAATTGAAAAGTAAATAATATTACTAATATCCTTTGTAGAAATATATACTATATATAACAAAGGATTTAATTACGAGTTATCTGCCGATCTAAAATATTGATCATTTTTTCTAATACTAAACTATTGTTTTTTTCTTTAAGTACAACTTGAGCTCTTTGCTGCTTGTGTTACCAAGCCTTTAACTTTAAATGATTTTAATAGGATGTCAATAAATGCTTAAGATTTACTCATGGGGAGATGTTATTATAGAGCTACAAAGATATATTTAAGATGTCAAAGAGTCAACACAGCTGCTTACAGAGAGTTGTTTAGAAACTTGTTGCTTTTCTTGAATGATACTGGAAAGTGGCTATTGTAACAAGATCCTGTAGTTCTTTTAGTTGGTACTCGTATTTGTTTAGATGTTAAAATAATATTGTCTGAATGTGAAATAACCAGAAAACTAAACTCTACGGGATGCTGGAGTGAGAATAAGTGATAACAGCATTTCTAAGACCAATTCTGCGGAATGAACGTAGAAACAGAAAAATATTTGCCATATTTTATCAAGGGGAAATCTGTTTCTTGCTTCCTTTAAAAGAATGGGAGGGAAAAAAAAAAGAAGTGGTTCTGTCATGCTAGTGTCAGTACTTAATTTGGGCACAGGAAGAAAAATAAATTCCCAGAAAACATCATTGGCTTCTTTTGGACTTTATAGTCAAGTTTATAACTGACAAATGCTGGTCTTCCTGCTTCCCCGTGGAAAAATCATAAATGTGTGCATGTTGTAAGAAATACTGTGGAAGATTTAGGCATCAATGCATTTGTCATCCTCTGCAGTTTAACTATGTCTGTAAGCAGCTTCTTAGCTTTAGAGGGATTGATCTGTTCTTGGAATTCCCCTGATTTAGGAAAAACTAATAATGCAATCAGAGAGTGTTCTAATTTAATTCTCAGATCTGCTGAGTTTCAGTTTGAATCTTTTTCTTCTTGTCTTTGTCAAATAAAGCTACAGCAAGTGCAGCAAATGCTTTCAAGCAGTAAAAGCCAGAGAGGAATTCTCAGGGTGTTTTTGCCTGTGTGAGAATGTATCAAAATATTGCCTGAACCAGAGACACAAATAGAGCAGTGTGATGAATGACTTGCTCATTCTGGTGAACACTTTCTCTGCTGTGAAATGTGAAGCAATGTCTTCTTGCTGTGCCACCAGCTCCTACCCTCAGCATGGAGCTAATGGGCCTAGAGGACACACTGCTGTCAGGGAAGAAATAGGAGATAGAGATGTGGCAGGGTAAGAAGCCTTCCAGTTGTCTCTTGACTTGGGAGGGTCCCCTGAGGTCCATCCAGCTGGTGTATGGTGGAGCAGCAGAGAAGTGAGACCCAAAGGCAGTGCAGAAAATGCCACAGGAGTTTGCTCTTTGTACTAGAGCAGATGGGCATTTGATTCCAGCCCCAGTTACAACTTAGGCAAAAAGCATGAATCTTGCTGCCTCTGTAATAGCTTCTGTGTTGCTCCAAGCAAGCTAGGTAGGGCAGTTTCACTATTAGTTTCAGTATCAACCACTTTTTAAGATCAGAAATGTGCTAAATAAAGCAATTTCAATTCCGCCATTAAGCCTGAAAGGGCAGGCATATCCACAACCCAGAATTTTTTTCAGCTAATTAATGCTTTTCTTCTTTAGTGAAAACCAACTAAATAACATTGTCAAAGAACTTTCTGGCTGAAGTCATTGGCAGATGAAAAATAACAAAAGGCTTCTAATTGCCCAAACCATACTCAGTTTTATCTTTGTTTCCTTATTTAATTGCAGCATATCTACCACCTTCCTGTTCTGTGGTAAGACAAAAAGTGAAACAGATCTTGGTTTAAGAAATCGTCTGTGAGAGGCTGAGTGTAAAAATGAGTAAACAATAACAATTCCTCTTTGCTGCAACTTCTGGGTTGCTCTAAATGGAATGCTAGTGCCTTGCCAGCGTCTGTTAAAAATAGAAAGTAACCAGTGTCAGAGTCTGTCTCTTTTTTTTTTTTCTTTTCCTTTTTTTTTTTTCTGATGGGGATCTGCAGGCTAATTTATTAACGTAACCTTTTTTGGTTCATCATTGTAGGGACTTGTTGCCTTGGAACAGCACACAGTGAAGGAAGTGGCTTTAAGAGCATACGCTTTGCTATTTGTAGACCCCATCACATGCTGTATTTTAACACTTTCTCTCCAGTGGTAAATACAACTTGGACTTTAAGACAGTAACTTTGCTCTGCTGTACAGTTGATTGTGCCTGTCAGTGATGTTTCGGAAGTTTAGACCAGCTAAAACTCTGTCTCCAGGATTCATTATAAATGTGTGTTGTCCTGTGAATTAAATGGTATGAGAACCAATAAGAAGAAAAATTGTCTGTAGCATCTTGAAAGGGCAGAAACTGGAATTAATAATCAATGCACCCAATTGTAACAGAGCTAAATGTAAAAACAAAGTAAAAATAATTTGGATTCTCTTCTTACTTAGGCTGACAACTTGTTCAGCTTCCAAAGCAATGTCAGTCAAGACCACCATGTCTAAACCTGGAGACACTGAACTGTTACTTAGGGTGCAAAAAATATTTCATCTCCTGCATCTTCTCTGATGAGTAAAATCCTGCTGTATGGTGCAGGACTGCTGGAACTATTGACATGCTAGTATTTGCTCAGTGTCTCTTTAGAAGCGTGACATCCTATTCAAAGAGCTACAGAAAGCAGTGCCCTTCTACTGCAGGCAGGTGGTTACTACTACCAGAAACTTTCACTAATCTTTTTCTGTTGGCTACCTGGATATCTGGCAAAAGGGGGAAAACATCAGCTTGGATTTGCATACTTGCCTACTAGCAGCCAGGACTGAGAAAACAAAATTATTATAGCACCTAATTCTACAGAGCAAGCTTTTCCAATTCACGCACTCCAGACTAGTGGTAATAATAGATAAATAAAGTGCTGCCATCCAGGTATTCTCTAATAGAGCTGGGGAGTGAGGGGAAGTTGAGAAATGAAAAGTTTTCTTTCTGAAAATTAACTTTGTATCCCTTTCACGGACTAATATCTGCCCTGATACACTGTCAGGAATAGACTGGTGAATAGTGGCAAAACTGATTACAGGCTTCATCTTCCTTGCTCTCCCTGCAGTCTGTGCTGGAAGTACAGTGAAGAAAACTTCAAATGATCTCTTAATGCCTTTAAATTGTAGATTGACTAAATGATGCTTGAATTCCTGCTTTGTTTTCAGTAGGTTAAGGACTCTCAAGTGTCAGCAGCACAGTTCAATTGCTTGTTATAGGAAAATTAAATAAAGTAAAACGTACTGTTAGCCTCCTGGGATCCTTTGCCATTAAGTATTTAATCACTCACCCCTGAAAATGTCAGGATTGCATTCTCTTCCCCATATCATTAATTTTGCTCTTTGTCAACTTGAAGTTTCTTCAGATCATGAGAGATAAGTTTTCCATGTACCTCCTGGTGAGTAAGTGCCAATTCAATCACAAAGATGTAACTTGACTTCATAATTTGTCAGAAGTTACAGAGCTGCTTGATTATAGGTTGTTCAAAAAACAGTGCTTATGTGCATTGTTTCCCTGATGGACAGCACAGAGGGATTCAGACTGCAGAAACTTGTGTTGTTTTTTTCTGTATTGTCTGTTAGCAACATGGGAATAAGATCTCATACGTTTTTGTGACCCATGGACCCACAGTAGAGTTAAAAGTTAAAATCCGTCTCTGCTAGTGTGTCTTGCAGCTCTGTTTAGGTTCATTACTTTTTTCCCCCTTTCATTTTTTATTGCATAAATCTGGTAACTAAACACACAGGAAAGGCAGAGAGGGCTGTATCAGGGCTGTATGAGGTGAAATCAGGGCTGTCCCCACATGTGATGAGGGCTCAGCAATAATCTCTAAGGCAGTCATGCCTGTGTATTCAAAGCCTGCAATGAGTAGCTGGTTGCAATACCTAGAAGTCTGCAGTTGCAGACTCTGATCCAGAGATGACAGCAGTGCCTGTGCACCTTGTGAGCAGAGAACAGCCATATTTGTTAGTGTTATCAGGGCTTGAAGTGCCCCAGGGAATCAGGAGGGGCACCCATTTTAAACCTTCTACAGAAGTCAAACAAAAATCCTAGCACCTCTTACCTCTGTCATAAAATAGATATGCCTTTGGAATCACAGTGGCCTGGA